CCAATTTTTTTTTCATGCGCATGATTTTCATTGGGCATTCATTGTGACAGAGATGTGTTATGCATTTTACAAACTGCTCAATAACTGGAGGTTTATTAACTGGCATCAGGTCAGAACGCATTTATAGAATCTGCTGCCTTTAACAATGGGCCTTACTTCTAAGATCAGCAAGCAGGTCCTTTCACGGTTTGCGTTCTCCATCCTTGGAACTGGATCAATTTTTGTGTCGAAAACGTCCCCACTGTTTACCAGAATTTGCATATCTGTTATACTTTTTATGCTTAGATAAATCAATTTTTTATAAAAAAAAAAAAAAAAAAAAAAAAAAAAAATGCATATCCTTTGCCCTCAATAATGCATTCTAAACCCATTTGATACACCGCAAGTGATTTAAGGCTACGCATAGGCGTTTCTATGCAAATGAGCTAATAAAAATGCAAAAGTGGTATATTTATTATACAGAGAATGCTTAATTTTATTTTCTTGTACATACTTAGTTCCCAAGGCATGTTATAGCTAGTGCACATTATGAAGTCATATTATGACGTCATTGTTCTTTAGTACTGAAAGTAATAAAACACATCAACAAACGGCTTTGGCGCAAGGGCATACCCTATTTATTTTTAAGAATTTAATTTATAATTCTACGAAGAATATTCTAAAGATTAAAAAAAGTGCTGCACAAATCTTATGCACTTTCTCGTTTAATAAAAATTTGAGGAAACATACCATGGACTGTGAATTTTTACCCCGTTTCAACTGAAAACTTTACAAATAGTAACTAAACAATTATTCTGTCGACATTTGTGCAGCAATATCACAAATCCTTGGAATATTCTGCTTCTAATTAGACCCTGATTCTGTAAAAATAAATAGGTTATGCCCTTGCGCCGAAGCTTTTTTGTTGACATTCTTTAAAACATGGTGAAGTAGAGAGCAATGACGTCATAATATGACGTCATAATGTGAACTGGCTATCACTTGTCGCGGGTACCATGTTAGCATTAGAAAAAAAGTTTTAACCTTTTCTGTATAATAAATATATTGGCCTTATGCGTTTTAATTAGTTCATTTTCATTGAAACTTCTATACTTAGCCTTAACTCACTTGCGACATTAATGCATTTCCTAAATAGCAGTATGTCATCCTGGATAGTTATATGAGTACTGAGATATTGGGGAAAGACCTAGGTTCCATATTTTTATGTCCTGTGAATAGTTCCAATGACCCTGTGGTAGACGAGAGCGCTCTAAATCAATCCTCCTCTTTGTCTAACCCGTTGAAGGAATTTCTCTTTGGATCAGCAGTTGTTGGCTGAAACATGACAATGAGCTGACATAGAAAAATTCAACATTTAAAGCAAAAGAGGGAAATCAACATATTGACTTTCAATAAATTTCTGCCTAATTGAAGAATCGGGGTATTTTAAAGAGAAATGTACTGAATTTCTTTCAGAGTGGATTGACGCCCTCTGTATTAGGACTTGCCCCGCTAATTGCTATTTATAGGTCCTATGAGTCTCAATTGACTGTGTATATGCTTACCACGCTGTATGAAGCGAAACTGGGGAAGTCACTGCAGGGTTTTCTTAAATTTCCCGAAGGATTTCTGTTGAGGCAGCGAATTCTGTATTATCCTCACGGTTCCCTTTTTCCCATAACGTTGAAGTTTGTTGTCACGACATGTTGACCTCACCGTCATCACGTTGGCTCAAAATTATAGGAATATTTATACCCTCTATACTTATTTCACCTTTAATGATTATTATTTCATATATATACCCAAAATATGTCAATAAGACTAAAAAAAAATGTTGTTCCTATATTCGTTAAAATTACCCAAAATGCTCCATTTTTGCAAAACCAATCAATTTCAATCCAACTAAAAATTCTCCAACGAGCGAAATAAATTTTAAAACTTCAATCAATGATATTCATGTCATCTATTACCTAAATGTAAAAAAAAAAGTCAATGGTGATAGACTAATCTATACAAGTTTTGCAAAAATGCCAACTAAATTGAGTTATCCTTGAAACTAATCCTGAAAACACACTTCAATAGTATGGCTGTTTTTGCCCTTGGATATATTGTCTCTTCCGCCTTGAAAGCTTTTATTAGAGCATTAAAATAACATTTCTAATGTGAAAGGGAAAAAACAAACTGGTACGAAAGTTAATATAAGTTCTAGCAAGAACAATATTACTTCCTTATTTTTATTAGTTGCTCAGTATAAAATTACTGCACGTTTACTTTAAAAAAGAAAACCTTTGTGATAGAAAAAATGCTATAAAAACACTTACAGCTACAAAAGAACAAGGTTACCTTTCTATCTTTTTCATTATCGGCCGGAGGAGAGGCCGATCTATTTGTTGTTTTCTCAGAAAGTACACATGGGGAAATGAGACGTTATTTCTTTTTTTTAATTTGGTAAAATTAATGATAACATGTATAAAATTATGAGTAAAATATTTTAAACATTTGCATTACAAAAAATCTTCATTGTTTTTATTATGTTTCAATTTCATTTTCATTTCTTATCAGACAATTATTGATATATTATTATATAAAAAGTGTTTACAAAAGGTACACCCCAACATGTGTATAAGATATGAACACTAATCGTTAAGATTTTCCGGATGGTAATTTCAGTGGTAAAAATGATAAATAAAAAGGAAAAGTGGTAAAACTAGTAAAACTTGTTTTTAATTATATGACGCATGGACAATTTTTCCTACGCTTTGTAATTATTGTCCATCACTGTACATGTAACGTGCAGAAATCATCGGCATCATCACGTGGCAGAGAACCAGGGTCTCAGCACGTAGTTCATCAGGAGATCTGAATATAAATAGGCCTACATCCTTATTTTGATGACATTTTTATTATTTATCTCTATTTTTTATATCGATGATAAATTTGATGAACAAGCGGACTGAAATTTCTATTTATCTTGTGTGTGTGTGTGTGTGTTTTTTTTTTTTTTTTTTTTTTTTTGTTTTTGTTTTGTTTTGTTTTGTTTCTTTTTTTGCTTTGACTGGAGACAGTCTAAAATAAGAATATTACTCCTTCTGCTTTCAATATCTTGCACTTTCCTTGGATGTTTACTTGTGAGAATATATGTACTTATTAAAATGATTAACTTTGTGGCCGATTTGATGCTATGCATCAATTTACATGGATTACATATTTTTCGCAGTTTTGAATAAATGTCTCTGCAATAATGTTGTATAATTTGACACGCAGTTAAAAGGACAAGGAGGCACTTTAAAAGATGGGGCACATAATAAGTACAACAATAAAATTATAGAAATTTGTGCTAATAAACAATTCTTAAAATAAATTTAAGAAATTGAAAAGCTATGTAAATTGTTGTACAAAACCTTGACAAAATCATTGAATATCGATTTTAAATATCGTTTTTGAAAGACACTTGTTCACTGACATATAATATTACATATTCTTTACACAATTGTAATATAATAGACTCAGATGCAATAAGATTTAAAAGGTTCATAACAGATACATGTATTGGTTGAATTTCCAGTATATTTAGGCATAATTCCTTTTCATTAGAGTGAAATGTGCCATAATTTTTAACAATATTGGTCTTGAAGAGTTATCCCCCTCTGTTTTTTTTATTTTAAAAAATCTATTTTAAATAATGCAATGAACTACCCATTTTCATCTAGACTTCAACACGAAAGGCCAATTCCAAAGATAAAGGATTTTTTTTTTCAAATCCAGTCCATGAGTTCGAACAACCACATGACAAACATTGGAATTAAATGTCAGAAATGTAAAAAAAGTGATAAGAAATCAAAGTTTTATTTACAACAGTCTAAAAGCTCTTTAGAATCATATTTAATGAGGATCCTTTACCCCGCTTACTCGTACCACCGGTGATATCTTATCAAGATTGATTAATGTACTAAAAAGGTGCCTTACCTATACAGTTGTTGAGACTATGGTTATCTTACACGCTGAATAAATCGCCATACTATTTATCAAAGATCGCGCCTTGGTGAAGTAGATCAATTAGTTGGATTTAAAAAAATCAGAAAAATATAAATTTTATTTACTCAGGAATTTTCTATTTCAAGAAATTGAAATAGTCCAGGAGTCCGGGATAGGATTTATAATGTGAAAAGTCAATTGAAGAATTTTTAACTAAGTTTCGTTGAGAAAAGCTCACTTAAGCTATTATTATAAATAAAATAATGAACTTAAATTCTATTTGTGCATACATGGATGTTCATAACACATACATGTATATTTAGGGATTTCATATCTATCCAAAACTTTATTCAAAATATTTTATTTATTTTGTGCTATTACATATAATTGACATTTAATAATTGAAAAAAAAAATGAAGACAATAGTGCATTTAAAGGAGACAAAAGCAGTATTATATATATATATATATATATATATATATATATATATATATATATATATATATATATATATATATATATATATATATATATATATATATATATATATATATATATATATATATATATTAGTAAGACTTAGATATACATGTGTAATACATGGAAATTTTGAGCCATATATTTTACTTCGTTTCAATTTTCAAGCTATTCATTGAACGTCATCCTGTTAGGCTCTTATTTCAGATGTACTTGTTATTTTGTGTCTGAAGGGTATTTTTATAGCAGAGAGAATTTAAGTTTGAATGCAGTTCTTCAAAAACATAAAAATATTCATTACATTTTTCAGCATTTCAATAAAACTGCTTTTTATATTCTCTGCTATATGAAATAAACATGAGAATGTTAATTGTAGATAGGAATATGATAAATAATGAAAAAAAAAAAAATAAATGTAGACATTAAAAAATATATGAATATATCTACAAGATTTTAAAATTTGTGTATAAAAAAGCTTCAGGTTCTGAAGCAAGATTTAAGTCATTTGAATGATAATATTGCTCTACGTATATAAATTCTTTAAAGACAATTGTTTAAATTATGTAAAGACAATTGGATATTTTAGTTCATGTGTAAAAAAGAAAGCTCTTCATATTTTCTTATATTTACACAAGGAAAAAAAAATACATGATTAATGAATTTAAAATATGCAAAATTTCAATTGATATCACTCTGATTTTCAAGTATGAAATAGTTGTCATTATTCACTGCTTCCGTGTGAGCGTATTCATCGTCTTCAGGTAAGACAACTCTGTCATTCCCTCTTCCTGCATTGAGATGGCTGTAATCATCTTCCATTGTCTTACCAGATGAACCGGAAGCGTGGTTGTATACGTTCTCCGTTTCCTGATTCTCTTTTTCATGGAGATGACTGTACACATCATCTTTTTTCATCTGTGATGTTTTAGCCTTTAGAACGTTACTATATGTAGGCGATTCCATTGACGGAGCGTAAGGTGGAACATTAACGACCTTTCGCTGAGAGAAAATAAATATATTGCATGCATTATTATGAGTACATGTATATTCCAAAGATCCAGCAATCCTTTAGAAATGTAAAAATAAAAATCAAATTTGAATTCCAACTCTTTTGATGCACACAGAACAATACTTGTAAGCAGTCATTACATAATTTGTAATACATTCTGGAGTAGTTAAAGAAAATGATTGAAATTTTCCCATACCACGAAGGCGTATAAGAATATTCTAATAAAAATCAAACAGCGGCAAAGAATTCAGTCAACCACGACTTTGCCTCACAACACATTTTTGCACATGCAGTCCTTTTAATCTGTGGATTTGAAATTCTCTTGAATTCGTATCTTCGAACAGCTGAACACTTCATTTCATTTCTAAGATAGTATGTTGTAGAAGAGTTTTGTCTTAAAATTTTTAACACGAGCTATTTTACGCAATCTTCTTTAATGGTTCATACATTCTAGTATGCCAATGACAAGGATAAATCATAAAATAAAATTTCCACCATGTTAAAAGACATGCATAAGAAAGAATGACTAAGGTTTGATGGCTTTCAATTATTTAGGGAAATTAATTTTTGTTTTCTTGAGATTTTAAATACACATACAATAAAGAATTTTAAGAAATGCTTTATAAAATATTTAATCGAATTTCATCATATAAAACCCCTTACTTGCAAAACCCCACAGTATGTAGTTTGCAGGAATGATCCCTTTGTCGTTATTGAACGTTGTTATTTTTCAGTTAAAGGTTTCTCGAAAAAAGTCATATGGCTTAATATTACGACAAAAGTACCCGTAAACGTCCTTACAAAAATGCGTTCGGTTATTGCATTGTGGATTATTTAACAATAAAAATTAAATTGAACATGTATTTTTGTTTTCAAAATGAAATAACTAAGTAACTACTTAAAAAGGTTTTTAAGTGATTGAAACTATACATGTAACATTAGGATCTTAAAAAAAATATATTTAATAACATAATACCATAAAAATCACATTTAAAATAAGGGGGAAAACATTAAAAATACCTGTAAATTCTGTTCCGTGTTTTTGGCTGTTTGACTCCGGTTGTCTTCCGTTGTTGGTGCGAGGTTTGCACTGTGTCTGTCAAATTTTACATTGTTCTCGTCACTGTATGAATGAACAAAGAAATGACATGTATCATTTAAAAGTGTTTACTTTAAAAAGTTATAAATTAAGGACTTGTTTTCGACTTTGTATTCTAATGAAATTAAAATTTTTAATGCAAATTTGAAGTTCATTTTGTCGAACCGTTTTGGTGACGGACGGCACATCACAATTTCACACAATTTTTTTAATCCACACAACAGTTCTAGAATTTGTTTTGAAGAGTGGTGTGTTACAGCCGAACAATAAATACCAAAAATAACTGCAAATAACCACGAGAGACAACCAAATATCAACAAAACAATGTAAAACGGCCAAACCGCTTGTCCTGTGGAACTCACAGGTACCGAAGGTATATATTAATAAATTTTGCAAATTATCTCCGAAAGTCCTGCACCAGACTTCATACATATTGCACTGTTATTACATAGGTATGAGATGATGTCCGTAAAATACATATTATGGAAATAATAGCATTTATGTCGAAACTGTTTTCAATTTTATTATTTAACCTGTATTGTTCCCCCGATCATGAAACCCTGTGTTGAACCCCTTTTCACTGAGAAATCTCACTTATGTATCATGCATCCTTAATCTATTTATATACATTGTTCCACTTGAATAATTCTGCATCAAAGTTGTGAATTTTATTTTTTTCAATATTTCATTTAAAACATTCAAACAGTATGATATTTCAATTATTTAATGGAAACATTCAGTGAAATGTTTCAATCAATGCTATAGTACAAATATTCAGAATTGTTTTGTTTCAAAATCTAAGTAAAAAAAAAAAAAAGAAAAAAAATCCAGTATAATATTTCAATATATGTTAGAGCAAACATTCAGCATAATAAAAGTTTAATGCTTCAATATTAAGTGAAAACATTCAAAACCAAAGATTTAAATTTGTATAATGTTTCAATAAGTTTACTAGTGAGATTTAGTAAATTGTTTTAAAGTATTTTAGTATGAACATTCAGTATAATGTTTAAAGGTTTTTGTAAAAAAAACATTCAATATATTGTTGATATTTGTGGAAACATTCAGTATACTGTTTCCAAGTTTTGTGGAAAGATTCGTTAAATGTTTCAAAGTTTTGGTGGAAAGATTTTGTATTTTGTTTCAAAATTTTGTCGAAACATTCAATATAATGTTTCAATGTGTTTTTGGAAACATTCAGTATAATGTTTCAAAGTTTTTATGGGGAAACATTCAGTATAATGTTTCAAAGTTCCTGAGTTAAGCAGTTAATGTATGTTTGCCTTTCTTGAAATGAACAATCCACCCCATCCTCTGCAAATATGTGCATGTTCCAAGAATGTACCAGTAGACATCCCAGAACGAAATGTTAAAGGATAGGCCCATGCAGAGCAAGCCTATTCTATACCCTTCTGACCCTAATAAGGCTGGAAAGCACTTTGAGATAAACTACATGCTTTGAAAATGAATATCAAAATTCTTATTACATAGGTTAACTTTGGATTAAGGTTAATAGATTGTGTTGGGTTCCCAACAAAATTATATATTTTAAAATCATTGATGACCAAAGAATGAAAGGTTTACTAGGTTAACAATCCCTAGGAATGCCTTTTGAAAAATTCACCATTTTGCATCACATGCATTAAATTGTCCCTAAATCAAAGATAGGAAAATATAATGTTATCCATGACTTATCAATCAGTGTATATGGACATTCCTTGAGATAATTAAATTTGGAAGTTCAGTATCATACAGTTCAAATTAGTTTGGTCCTACACTATTTTAGTGAGGGTGCCTCTATGGCTAATTTGTCAACAAGAATGTCTTTTATACCTTACTTATACACACCTTTTAGTCTAACATCTTCTTGTGTACACTTGGAATTTTTTTTATTCTGATTGCTTTCTTACTATAGGTGCTAGAAGGTCTTTGTCTAATTGCTGTCTCATACCTCTGTGTAGTCGTCATTCTAATACCACCCATTTATATTTTGGCATACATACAGGTCATTGTATAAACTACTATATGATTACTAAAGATATATATGCATTTTGAATGTATAAAATTTTCTCTATCCGTACTGGGTTTATACAGCTCAACGTTTTAATTGATCATGATGCATCCTATGAAACACATAATATTATTATAGATAGGATATAACAAGTCATTGATTAACTGCTATATAACATATTAATCAAACAGGGCAGTGAATAACTGTTGTATAATGCTAGGATTTAAATGTATTTAAATAATAATAATAATAATAAGTATAAAATCTTTATCCCTCTGGATTATGCATGTCAGTGTTTAACTGCTGCATCTTATGTAGTACATTGTATGACATAGTTAGGACATTAGAGATCAGTGTTTAACTGCTGTAGTACATCCTTAAACAGGTCAGTGTTTAACTGCTGTATAGCAAGTCAGTGTTTAACTGATGTATAACAGGTCAGTGGTTAACTGCTGTATAACAGGTCAGTGTTTAACTGCTGTATAACAGGTCAGTGGTTAACTGCTATTTATCAGGTCAGTGGTTAACTGCTATTTAACAGGTCAGTGGTTATAATTAACGGCTGTATAACAATCTTAATCAAACAGGTCAGTGTTTCACTGCTGCATAATGACTAAAATATATTTGTAATTCAAAATAAAGTAAAAAAAAAAAGTCGTATAATCCGTACGGCTTACGCAGGTCAGCGTTTAACTGCTACATCTTGTGAAGTACATTGTATGACTTAGGTGAACATTACAGGCCAGTGTTTAGCTGTTGTGTCAATCCAATTTTCAGGTTAGGTTTCTTCTCATAAGGATAACGGAAAACTAGTGTGTGCTGTCTCACCATATAAACTTGGTAATATGCCCACCACATCACCTCTTGCTTGTATTTGTAATTTTCGTACAGCTAAGATTATTTTATATTTACTTTAATTTTTTTCCCTCTCCATTTTTCACATTAATTTCATGCATATTACCAATCAGCTCCCCTTGGATGGCGTTGGATATGATCGGATGATCATATCTTTGGCCCTATTGTTCGCTATCTTTTTGCTTTTATAAGCTTTTGAACAACTTTTCGAAGTTTGTGATTGAACTAATCAGTATTATTGTTATTTGTGAAAATAAAATTTTGGGGGAAAATCAGGATAAAATTATGTGATGACATGTTATGTAACTAGATGACAAAATGTTTGATGTTTGCTGATTTCCCCCTTTGTTTGTGAAACCAATATTTCGTCATTTGTTATCTGTAATAAATGACATATTTCATTCTCAGACAATTGTCCTGTTGTATATGTTAGTTTAAGCAAAAACAAGCTTCGGTGAGCTGTTTGTAAGGAAAACGGTTTGAGACATAAAAGCATATTATGGAATAATAGCATTGTTGTCATTTTATTATTGTTTCCCATTTTATTATTTAACCTGTATTGTCCCCCCGATCATGAAACCCTGCGTTGAACCCCTCTTCACTGAGAGAATCATCTGTGCCTCGGCCAATGAAATCTCACTTATGTATCACGCATCCTTAATCTATTTATATACATTGTTCCACTTGAATATTCTGCATCAAAACTGTGAGTTTTATTTGCCCACCACTTCCCCATACTTGTATATCCACCTTTAGATATCAGCTACTTTGATTATTTATTGTTTTGATTCAATTTGTTACGATATTTTGGTTATTTTAGAAATTTAATAATTATTGTTCGCCATCTTTTTGCTTTTATAAGCTTTTGAACAATTTTTTCGAAGTTTGTGATTGAACTAATCAGTATTAGCCCCTGCCATTGTTCGCCATCCTTTTGCTTTTATAAGCTTTTGAACAATTTTTCGAAGTTTGTGATTGAACTAATAGTATTATTGTTATTTGTGAAAATAATGTTTTTGGGGGAAATCAGGATAAAATTATGTGATGAAATGTTATGTAACTAGATGACAAAATGTTTGATGTTTGCTAATTTCCCCCTTTGTTTGTGAATCCAATATTTTGTCATTTAGTATTTGTAATAAATGACATATTTCATGGCCTTATTATTCGCCATCTTTTGCTTTAATAAGCGTTGAACAATTTTTTGTGATTGAACTAATCAGTATTATTGTTATTTGTGAAAATAATGTTTTGGGGGGAAATCAGGAAAAAATTATTTGATGAGATGTTATGTAACTAGATGACAAAATGTTCGATGTTTGCTGATTTCCCTCTTTGTTTGTGAATCCAATATTTCGTCATTTGTTATTTGTAAAAAATAACATATTTCTTTCTCAGAAAATTGTCCGTTGTATATTTTAGTTTAAGCAAAAACAAGCTTCGGTGAGCTGTTTGTAAGGAAAACGGTTTGAGACATAAAATATATTTAGTTTTCACTGGCATAGTTATTATCGTATATTCAATTAAAAGTCTACTTTTGTTTTCGATAAACAGCCATGAAATAGCAAAAAGGAGAGTAAGGTGGTGGCTACGGTTGGCGGATCTAAGTAACTGACTATTTTTTATGAAACTGGCAGCAACAAGCAATTGTTTAAATATTTGATAAAACGTTTTTAATAAATTATTCAATAAACACTTGATTTAAGTGATGTAGAAGGAATAAGTTGTGATAACCAATTAAAAAGCAAATATGCAAATCATTTTCGTTTATATTCGAGCTGAGTCTTGGCGGAAATTTCTAGAACTTACATCAGATGGCATCGAACCCGATGTTAACAGAAAAACGAGGCGATTAAATATCAAAGCATAAATTAAAAAATGTTGTAAATGGGCATGGAAATAATGATAAAGTAATTGATAACACTATGGGTTATGAATAAATTTATATATATCGAAAGAGTCTGAGCCAGTTGTCTTAATAAGTTAAACATGCATATTTGCCACTAAAAGCATAATGGCAACGAACCCAAAGTACATATGTGTATATAGTAATAAGTATATAGTAATAAACTTGCTAAAGAGGAAAAGTCAATTAAGGAATATTGTTTTGTTCAAATATATAAAGTAAAAGTGATGCATTTTATGTTTTCACATTTTACTAAAGCTGTGAAATAATTGTGCTTTAATCAATACATTTCAGGGGGTTTCTACATACCGGGTGAAAAGCATTTTTTCTTTAAAAATGTGCTGTAAAATTCAGTACAATAAGCACATTCGCTTCGTTTATCTTTGATGGAAATGGAAACAGAACACCTTATATATATGTTATAGAAGTAAAAAGGTATCAAAATAAAGATGCTAACATGAAAAGAGTAAACGTCAATTTACGAAATTGTCATTTTTTCAAGTTAAAAAAATAAAATGAAAGAAGGGGACGTATCTTATCTTCTTCTAGATCTGGTCCTAAACTTACTGTGGAATTTTGTACAAAGTATATTTCTTCCTGCTATAAACTTTTCATTAACTGTCAGTAGAAAGTAATAAGATACAAACTATAAGAGACATTATTCGAATTGATCAGTCAGCAGTGGTAAAAATTCAATTCCCAGCGCTTGCGCGGGTTTCATCTAGTGCATTAAAAACATAGAGTTTGGAATGGTTTTTGATCCTATCTGATATTCCTGTTCCTCAGGGGATAGTGCAACTACTTCCATGTACTACCATAGGCACTCTAGACACTGTCTCCCTTCCGTTTCAATGAGGTGGAGAGAGAAACCATACCACATTGAGGCTAGCGAATCTCCCGTCCATATTTTACAGTGTGCCAAAGACAAAGCGACCAACTTTGCGCACCCTATGTCCTACATATGTATGACAGACTGGGAGGAAGAACATGCCAGATGAGATCCACATTATTCCGCTATGTCTACTGTTACACCATCAGCCAATCAGCCATTGGTATGATGGTCTTGCCACTACCCTATTACTTCACCCCCCCCCCCCCCGCCTCCCCCGGTGATGAAAGCAATTTAAGGCTTATATATATTTGATTAGGTTTGGTTAGGTTGTAAACGAAACTGGCATTATCTGTATTGGACAAGGGTGTTCTATCATACCTAAATATATCATGATTATGTATTAAAATACTGGCTTGGCTAACAATGGATTCCACACCTCAGCAATGTAAGCGGATGCCCTTTGACCTTTTTGCGCTTTTATCGAATTTCTTATTTTCAGCCAGTAGCACACCGTGCCAGAATAATGGTGGAAGACTATTTGACTATCTAGGGCACGTAGTATCGTTTTTGAAAGTGTGTGTGCTGGGGTGGGGGGGGGGGGAAGCCAGAAAAAAAAATTAACAGCTTTCCTCTTGAAAAAAAAATTTGACAAGTAAAAAAAAATGTTTAAACTCGAAAGTCCAATTTCCGTTAGGGGTGGGGGGAACCAGTCTTAAAATGAACATTTTTAATAGTAAAAGGTTATGTTTGAAAAAAAAATGTGGGGGCCAGGCCTCCATCTGCACCCCACCCCCCCTTTTGATACTACGTGCCTGCATCTATTACTTTTTGGACATCTTTAGGTAAAAGTGAAAAAAGGGAATGAAGAATGCTGGGGTCAAGATCATGCTTCTGGAAAGTTGCTGGAAGGCCAAAGTTTGCTGTTTCGCAGAGTGGTAAAACATCTACCTTTAATGCAAATATGTCAGGCCAAACAAAAAATATGTGTGGTTCCGGTTACCCGACCGTCCCTATTTTATACCCCCGACCCTAAAGTTTTTTTTTTGACAATTTTCAAATTTCCGGAATTTTCCCTGATTTCCCTCATTGGCTCCGGTATTAGTTTTAGTTTCAGCAATGGTGGCCTTCTTTGACAACATCGTTTCAACACGCAGTACAAGTGTTTTGTCAGTTACAAATGTCACCACTTGAAAGAAAGCAATAGTATTATCTCACCAATATCACCAATAGTTAATTCATGAACATTCAATGATATTTTTGACTTTTATTTTATTTAAATTTAAAAAAAAAAAAAAAAAAAAAAAAAAAAAAAAAAAAAACAAAAAACCTACCTACCTACCCTAATTTGTTTGGAGGTGTAACCGGAACCACACATATTTTTTTATTTGGCCTCATGCAAATCTAAAAATTTAATATACTGTATGACTTGTACTTCAGGCGGGGAAAACTACATTGGACAGACAGGTAACAAACAAGCTGACGTGTAAGAGTCCATAAACAACAAATACGGGACCCCTCTGTCAGGAATACGCCTTGCAGTGAACATTTTGATTCATCTGCGAATGAAAACCTTTTAATATTTCCATTTTATAAAGTTTTAGAAAATAATGAACAATTACGGAGAGCCAAGGAAGATTACTTTGTAAAATTATTTAAACCTAAACTAAATGTAAATTGAACTCATAGCTTAAAAATAACAGTCTATTTCATCACAATGTACATATGTTCAATTCTCGACTTTTGGCACCCTATTGACATTTACCTGCGCCAATGAATAATGCTGCCTTTGTGACGTCACAATAGCGATATCATAACAACGAAGCTGTGTTTTTTTAATAAACTTTATTACACTTTGAAAAGCGCTAAGTGTAATTATTAAATGTGAACTTGTTTGTTTATCTTGGATTTAATCTTAATTTATAACCTACGTATACCTTACCTGGACTTTAACCACAATATCACTATATATATATATATATATATATATATATATATATATATATATATATATATATATATATATATATATATATATATATATATATATATATATATATATATATGAACTTCAATATACATGGTGTTAATAGGTAATCCATGCAATAATTAAATGTCAAAAAGTGGAAGACTTACCGTTTTTTCATGTTGGCCATATATCTTTTGGATATTAAGTATGCAACAAGGACACTAAAAAGTACTCCCAGAAAGAAGCCCCCGAAAACACCTCCTGTTGTAGCTCCGAAACCATTTGCTATAATTTTGTGATATTCAAGTTCAGCAATATATATATATATATATATATATATATATATATATATATATATATATATATATATATATATATATATATATATATATATATATATATATAAAGAATGAATAATGAACATGTTATATGACATTTACATACAGTATTGAGGAACCACCTCTAAGATGCCTAAAGATCCAAACCTCTTTCTTTACTCCTCACTAAAATATTTACTGTAATGAAGGAGAAACTTCAGGAGTACTATTCAACAATATATTTGAGAAGTGGTATAAATCAGATGTGGATACGTAAAAACTCCGAAGAACTTTTGGAAAATTTGAAATCACAAAATTTTACTAAAATCAATAGCATCAAAAACGTACGACTTTTCAACACTTTATACAACCAATACCCACGATAAATTGAAGTCCAGGCTTTTTGACATCATAGACAGCTGCTTTTTCAATAAAAGTGGAACTCGAAGATATACTTACCTTGTCATTGGTCATTTACAAAAATACTTTGTTAAAAAGCACTCTGATTGTACACACAGGTACTCTGAAGTTGATATCAAATAGATGCTCGGGTCTCTGATTGACAATATCTATGTAGTTTTTGGAGATCAGGTCTTCCAAAATCTGTTGGAATACCCATGGGTACCAATTGCGCCCCCTTATTAGCAGACCTATTTTTGTATTCATATGAAGCAGAATTTATTCAAAAACTTCTACATGAGAAGAAGAAAACAGTTGCTGTGGCCTTCAACTCGACATTTTGATATATCGACGACGTTTTATCAATTAACAATATTTACTTTCATTCATATGTCGATTCGATATATCAGAGTGAGCTTGAAATAAAAGAAACCACAGATTCTGACACATCTGTTTCATATTTTACTAGAAAAAGACGTTAATGGTAACCTAACAACAAAGCTTTATGATAAACGTGAGGACTTCAACTTTTCAATCGTCAACTTCCCTTACTTATGTAGCAATATACCCTTATCACTGCATATAAGGTTTATGTCTCTCAGTTGATTCGATACGCAAGAGTATGCTCTACGTATGAACGATTTCTAAATGAGGCAAGCTATTGACAAACAAGTTGACGAAACAAGGATATCAACAGTCTCGTTTGAAGTGATCTTTTCGGTCGATACAATTACCTTGTCAGTACATATAACCTATCATTGAGTCAAATGCTCACTGACGTTTTTCATACTAATTGTTAGGCCATTATTTATACACTGAACTGTCTACGGATTTTCCGGTTTCTGTTTCCCGATCATGACAAGGAGCACACGGCGGGTGTCACCGGTCGGTAGGGGATGCTCACTCCTCCATGGCACCTGATGGTAAAATCAGAGAAAATGGCAGGAGCATGTTCGGTAAACGGTCCGATATTTTAAAAATTTCTATTCATAACAACGATTAACATGTGTACATTTATTACATTATAGGAAAGATTTCTCATAGAGAGTATTCTAATAAACTACACTATCTTCTACATCATACAAACGGTTTTTCATCGTACATTTGCAAATAATTTGATTAATTGTACATACATATTCAATCTTCTACATCTACAAACAGTCTTTGAAAATGATTTTATAAATTTACAAAGGATCAAATCTATTGATTTAATTATTTCTGTAAATTTATTGGCGCCTAAATGCCATCTTACTTTTCTTTGGCTAAATTTTCCATGCAATCTGCAATAACTCGATTCACTGGTTAATTGTGTGTTGTTTTACGTCTCATTCGAGAATCTTTCACTCATAAAGAGACGTCACCATATACCTGTTAAGGGCTTCAAATTTAGACCTATTCTCGGCACTAGGCCAATGGGCAGTGAGGGTTCTTTTTCGTGCCAGCACCTATCGTGACACGGGGTCTCGCTTTTTAAGGTCTCATCCGAGAGACCCGTGTGTGACGATACATATTGTCGTTCTGTACATATTGTAGTCGGAGACAATATGTACCTACCCTCACTGTATAAATTGTCGTCTATTGGTACATACTGTCGCCAGCGACAATATGTACCGAGACGAACCTTTTGTTTTTCTCGTGCATAATGAACGACAAAATGTACAGTCAAGCATCGGCACATACTGTCGTTGGCGACAGTATGTACTGTAAACATTTGCACATTTTGTCGTCAAAATATTGTTTTTGAAGAATATTTACTAGGGTCGTCAAGAGAGAGAGAGAAAAGGATAGACAAAGTGTGGCAGATAAACAAGTATACAAGTTGTATTTATTTATTAAGTATTAGTCGCAATACTAGTACTACAGGTAGAAAAGGTTTTTATGTCAGATAATTGTGCCCAGAATTGGTGTTCACCACTATGTTATGCTAAGATACTGTAATTCTTGATATATCTGATAAATCAGCGTAATTTCTTTTTTTTTTTTCTCGTTACATGTACATGTACTTGGAGTTAAATCTTAATTCTTTTGTTCAGTAGTAATGGTTATTTGGAAAATATTTTTGCTTTATTCTTATACATATGCCGATATAATTGGGGTTAGGATCGACATTTTTAGCTCACATGAGCTCAAGTCTTATATAGGAATATATAGGAAAAAAATCTTGCAAAATCTCGTCAAGAACTACGTACTGTTATTTAAATACATAAAAATAGATAATATTAATATCTTATGATAGATCTCAGAGGTTTTTCCTAATCTACATTAAATTGTATCATCAAATTTTTAGCAATTGATAAATGTAAAGAGTGCAGAGGTCCAATGTTCAATTTAACGTGAACATTTTGTTCAAAATGCATTTGTTTTTTTTCAGAAATAACATAACAAAAAATTCCCATTAACAATTAAATTAGTATTAACAGGAAAGCAGTCGTATGTCCTACACAAAAATACCAGCTGTCCGGAATTACTCGTATATATCCTAACGATAAAGTGTTGTATATCACAGACAAAGGGTATATTCAAATAGTATTAACGTTTAACTACTAATGAAGTAGAAGTACTAACCTTGTACTTGATGAACAGTTTTTTTCTCTGTATTTTTATTCCTTTCCACTGAAAAATGAAAAATTGTAATTTTTTCATACTAATTATATAATTATAGTTACATTGAACCATATAAATGTATAGGAATTATCAAAGAAAGATGCAATATTGATGTCTCATGAATATGCTATACTTACCTTGTTTACAATCAGTCTCATTAACAGGTATGTGCCCATCTCGACACATACATGTCCCATTTTGACATTCTGAGTTTGATGCAGCAGTACACTGTTCATTTCGCTCACAGGTCTCGTTAATTTTAAGGTTGCCTGATTGTATTCATTAAAATCACCTTTTAAATTTTGTCTTCTTTAAGCAAAAAGGTTATTAAAACAACTTTTCTTTTAACAAAATGAATGAAAAGAAGGGTTTACAACATCTTCTAATCAGTTTACTCCAAATCCTAGATATTTTGATTTGCAAACGCACATCCCTACATTGTACGTCTTCATTGCTTACAATAAAATGTGACATCCATGTACGTTTTATCCGAGGAAAAGCACATATCAGTGTATTATCAAAATACGATTCTATATAAATTACAAGATTAACTCAAACAATACAAAAAATGTCCAATAAAACAAAACATAATCTTCAAATAACAGGTTTTAGAAAAATATAGTGTTGTCAACGAGTTCCAGTTTATAAACCTCTTAATTGTTGTATGATGCACGGATATCGGTTAGGAAGGCTACTACTTGATTCCTTGGATACATAGACAAAAGTAGTTTTTAAAAAAAATCATGAATAAATACTTACAAATGATCACGGTTTTATTTACTGTTATTTAATAATAAACTTGGTATAGCATTTCACACATTCGACAGATTCGTTTTGATTACACATAGTTTTAATAGTTTGTCTAATAGATGGCTTTGAATGTCACGGGGTATACGGATTTAGAAGATGTGAGTTGATTAAATAACCTTATCTGAACTGTGCTTGTTCGTAGTACTGGATCAAACACAATGCCTGCATTACCATCAAAAGCATCAATTCCAAAATATTTTAAAAGGTATAATTATAAATAAATTACATATACAGTGCGATATTAAAATGATAGATATGAAATTGTAGCGACGGTACATACATGTACTTGTATATCACGGTTACTATTGAATATATACCACGTGCAAGGATGTTTAAAGAAATATCATCTGAGTAACTGGGTACTCAATTGGAAAAGTAAGCAAGTTAAAGGTGATTTAACTTCATCCGATTTGTCAACAATTTTCATTCATAATCTTTCCAAAATTTATGAATAGTTATGTTCCTTTTACAATATTTATGCTGTTTTAGTGGCTTTTGATCGGGTAACTAAGGCAGAAACAATTTATGACACAAAATGTTCATCCCTTTGTACATACTTGGGAAATGAAAATATTTTCAAAATCTAACATAAATGCATAACATAATCACTCATTTAAATGTCGTTTTTAATCACACACACCCTCCCTCACTCACCCCCCCCCCCCTCACACACACACACACACACCCACACACACAGAGCAATTTATCAAAAATGATACCTTGATTACTAATTACTTCCAAGTTGAAAAAAGTTAAGGTTATGAATAAAGCATATAATATTACCTCGATAACATGTTAGGTTATATGATATATAGCCGCTCTTGCAGATACACCTTTTATTCTTGCACACATCTGCATGTAAACTGCCAGTACACTGCTCTTTCGAAGAACAAAATCCACCTAAAGTCACATTCCCTGAAATATTGTTGCAATATTCATTGAAAATTAGATAGATAGATAGATAGATAGATAGATAGATAGATAATAAGGTCGTCAAGAGAGAGAGAGAGAGAGAGAGAGAGAGAGAGAGAGAGAGAGAGAGCACAAAGAATTTCACTTTTATAAGGATACCCATATGCCCACTTCCGCCCCAACCCGGGATTGAATTCTTGACCTATAGAATCTGTCTCCTAGTAGTACACCGAGGCAATTAAAAAAAACTTTCGATGCAGATGGAATTCTCGCGGCGCTGTACCACACTGCACGGTCATTGAAAATGGAAGTGAGATACAGTTATTTGGACATTTGTTTCGTTAAAGGATCGTAACCGATACACAATGTAATGAATGATTTTTATTATTATTTATTATTAAGCACATTTTACAACAACTCTTTAACTAACATAACTGCCCTAAGTAAAGAAATATTAATATAGAAAGCACAAAGAAATTCACTTTAATGAGGATAAACACTTCGGCCCAAACCCAGGGTTGAAATCTCGATCTACGAAATCTGCCTTTTAGCAGCACAGGAATAGCACGCTAGACCGCTTAGCCATATAGGCTTTCGATGCCGATGGAATTCTCGCTGTGCTGCCCTACACTACACGATCATTGGGAATGGAAGTGATACACGATCATTGGGAATGGAAGTGATATATATATATATATATATATATATATATATATATATATATATATATATATATATATATATATATATATATATATATATATATATATATTAGGTAATGAAAAGTATTGAAATATAACATGCCTTTCTCCTTTACTAGATGACTATTTTAAAAGATATGTGTACAATGTATGGAATATCGAAAGCTTATTACCCATGGTTAATACATTGGAGAAAAGTCAAATTAAATTTGTAGTGTTAATTTATACAAAATATTTTTTGGCGTATTGTATCAGAAGTGTTTTCTGTCAGAGTCATAGTACACTATTCGTGACTAAATGCACAGTTTAAAAAAGTAAGAAAAAATTCACATCCAGGGAATACTTTTTTAAAAATTTGAAATTCATTTCTTTTCGTTTCTTATTTAATTTACCTCCAAGGCATTTGTTCTCTAGTGCAATATATCCCTTTCTACATGAACATGTCGAATTCACACAAACACCGGTGTAGGTTCTATCTGAGCACTGAACATTTGACACACACGCACCACCAATGGAAACTCTAGCTAAAAATAGAAAAAATACTGCTTCTGTTTCAGTTTGTGTCCACTTTTGGAGGAATACCCCAATCTAAGTCGAGAAAAAAGACGATTGGTAAAAAGACCGTACATAAAAGAAGACCCCTCCCCCATCCGTAAATTAGAAAACACTTTCTCCACCAAGGTAGAAGTTACAAATCCTTCTTTGTCGATGACAATATATACCGATGTTCACGGTATAAATTTTTGCATATTCAGTTAATATGATGCAATGTCGGAGAATATTTTTGCTGCATTATCCCCTGCCAAGGGTAGACTTGGCATATATCATATGTTCAGAACATTAATAGATTTCGTTAAAGCAACTACAATATTCGATTTTGACATTTAATATGCTATTCGAGAACAGTTTGTTGTAATAAAAGAAAGGGTGCATGATTCACATCAAGGAAAAAAAGTGTAGATCTATTTGACAGGTGAAACGAACAAGCTAAGGTGGATGTCCCTTTGAAATGATTGAACATTTTAAAACGGAGACAATGATCTGGAAATTTTAATCAGATTGTCCTGAGTATATACAATGAAAGCTGTCGCTCAGAAGTTGAGAAAATAACAATAAAATAGAAGCTTTAACAGAGTTTCTATTGTTTAAAAAATATTCTCATTTTAATGATAATTTACCTTCATAGCATTTGTTTTCTTTTGAAACATATCCCTCTCCACATCTACATGTCGAATTCAAACAAACATCATAGAAGGTTCTGTCTTTGCACTGAATATATGGCACAAATACGCCATTAACATCAGGAACATCAGCTAAAATTAAAAGTCATGAATTTAATTAACATAACATTAATAAAGTATTAATTTATTAATTTGGTAACATACTCCTTCGATTAAATTCTTTTTAAAACTTTCATATAAAGGAATTGAAAGATTTGAACATGTTAGGAATAAGTGTGGCGTATGCTCTGCTATTGTTGATGTCTTAGTGTTGTTTACGGTGTGTTCAATTTGCTCACTCTGCACACATCCCTAAACGAACTGACAAGTCTGGTGTGTTGGTTTTGCTTTCTCACATTTGTACTCTGAATTACATAGATTACAGTTGTATTTTATCCTTAATGCACAGTAAATGTTCAACTTTTTTAAAATATAAAGGATTAATTTTACTTCGTGAAAGTGCAAGGATGTGTTTAATTCAAACGCATCCCGAAATTGGAAATTTAAATATCAATTTAGATAAAACAGATTTCTAAACACGATTTTAAAGCATATCGATCTGAAATGCTCTAGTAACATGCAATTCATGATATTTTATTTCAGTTGTTGTTAGGCAATTAGGCCAATTATTTATTCATTTAAAAAAAAAAACAAACAAATTTTTATTAATCCAAAAACAATACCTGTTAGTGAGTGAAAAAACTACGACGCGTCGACTTTTACAAGGCATACTGTTGCATTGCATTTATTGTCGACACTGACAAGACAGGTCCTTGTTTTATGCATAGATGGTAGATGGTACATATTATTGCAGACGACAATTCAGACAAACAGTGTAAACTACTCTATTACATATAGGGTTCACAGAAATATTACGGGTTGTTCAAGGCAATGGATGGTTAGGTAAAACCGAGCCTTCCATGGACTTGAACAACCCGTATTATTTCTGTGGACAGTCAGTAACAAACCTAATATTCAAGGCAGTGGAAGGCTAGGTGAAACCGTCAAAATTTTGCTACTTACCAACCAAAAATATACATGGTGGGCGCGTGACGCCTATCATCTAATGACAGAGCGTCATTATAGTACGAGGAAAGCAAAATAAAAATTATCAAAAATCAATAATCAATCTTAGGAAAGGTGATGGGATTGAGATGGATATAAAAAAAGCTTCAAAGAGGAATAAATGATACAAACCTAAAACAGCACTCACAGCTCCTTTTGTTAGAGAAATCAATGCCTTGTGTTTTGCCAACATTTATTTTACCTAAACTCAGGACGGTCTGAGTTCACATTTGAGATGTACCGTACAGCAGTTATCATTGTGAAGACATAACAAATTTAATAAGTAACGAAAACAAGATGTGTTTGTGAAACACTGATGCCCCCGTATTGCAGCTTATGGCGAAGGTTAAAGTTTCTCAAATTCAAGTCAAACTCCAGGTCAAGAGGTCAAAAATGTTGGTACCCAAAGAAAGGTCTTGTCTCAAGGAATATACTTGTGTAATATGAAAGCCCTAGCACCAACTGTTAAAAAGTTAAGGCGTAGGTTAAAGTTGTTTTTAAAAGTAAGTAAAATGTCAATATCAAGGTCAAATGGTGCCCAAGGGAAGGTCTTGTCAAAAGTGATACACATGTTTATGAAACCTGACAGCCCTAGAACCAAACGTTCAAATGTTATGGCCAAGATTAAAGTATTTCCAAAGTAGGTCTAACTCCATGGTCAAGGTCAAAGAGTCAAGGTTGTTGGTACTCAAAGGAAGATCTTGTTACAAGGAATGCACATGTAAAGTATGAAAGCCCTAGCACCAACTGTTTAAAAGTTATAGTCAAGGTTAAAGTTTTTCAAAAGTAAGTCAAACTCAAGGGTCAAGGTCAAAATTCAAATTTGTTGGTATCTAAGGGAAGGTCTTTTCAAAAGGCATACACATGTGAAGTATGAAAACCCTAGCTCTAACTGTTCAAAAGTTATGGACAAGGTTACAGTTTTTTCAAAAGTAGGTCAAACTCCAAGGTCAATGTCAAAAAGTCAATATAATGTTGGTAGTTAAGAAAGGCATTGTCACAAGGAATACACATGTGAAATATGAAAGCCATAGCTTTAACCAATCAAAAGTTATGGGCAAGGTTAAAATTTTTCAAAGTTAAAGTACCTGAAACTCCAAGGTCAAGGTCAAAAGGTCAAAGTTGTTGGTATCCGAAGAAAGGTCTTATCACAAGAAATACACATGTGTAGTATGAAAGCCATAGCACCAACTGGCTAAAAGTTATGGTCAAGGTTTAAGTTTTTTCAAAAGTAGGTCAAACTCCAAGGTCATGGTCAATGGGTCAAAGGTGTTGGTATCCAAAAAAAGATCTTTTCACAAGGATTACACATGTGAAGATTGAAAGCCCAAGCTCCAATTGTTTAAAAGTTATGGCCAAGGTTAAAGTTTCATAAAATTTCCAAAAGTGGGTCAAAGTCTAAGGTCAAGGTCAGAAGGTCTAATATGATGGTACCCAAAGAAAGGTCTTGTCACAAGAAATACACATGTGAAATATGAAAGCCATAGCTCCAACCAATCAAATGTTATGGCAAGGCTAATGTTTTTGCGGACAAACAGACAGACAGACGGACGACAGGGCAAAAACTATATGCCCCCGAATCTTCGATTACGGGGGCATAAAAATTCACCTCTTGATAATGTGTATATGAAAGATTGCATGTATTAGATTTTTCCTTTATTTAAAATTAAAGAATGCAAATCTCACCATTAGATTATTTATAAACAAATCTTACGTCATGAATAACGTCACTCGCTGTGACTTGACTCAGTTCAAGTAATCCAGGGGAGTGGATCCATCAGTTTAATTATTACAAAAATGCTTATTAAACACAGGACGAAAAACCATCTTTAAACATTCGCTTAAAGACGGCTTAAGGACACAAGCAATGTAGTTTGGAACTTTATTTTCTAATTTCCTTCATAATTTAAGAGTTCCAATAATTGAAGGACCTTCGTGCGATTTTATGATGCCTGGAAATGCTGTATACCAACTATGTTTTTGTTAATTTTTCTTTGAATAGCATAGGTACATTCATCATTTCATACCTTTTCAAAAACCCCAGTAATATAAACTGATTTTTTTTTATCTTGGAATTTCTGATGGTAAAATGATTTTAAATTAAGAGTATCTTTGAAATTATCATGGGAATGATACATTGTAAAGTACATATACATGTACGTTGCCTATGTCCTTAATGGTAGCTTAAAAATGTTAATTTCTTTCCGCAATCATAAAGACATCTTTAAGCTGCTGCTGATAATTGCTTAATGCCAAAACTTCTTTAAATGACGATTATGCCACCTTTAAGCTGCAGCTTATAGGTGCTTAATGTCAAAACTTCTTTATGCCACCATTAAGTCATCTTTAAGCCACATTTTCGCAATCTCTAATCGACTTATCAAGTCCTCTTAAAAATAGTTAATTTATAAAAAAATATTATGTACAACCTTGTTCATTAAAATACTTAAGTCAATAAACATTATTGTATGCATATTTTAAGCGATATTGAGAGTTAAAATTCAAATACGGCGATATGCATATTTCAATCGGATTTCGACGAAATACTGCTCTGACGTCATAGACGACAATTCAGGGAATTGCACACTATTAACAATGTTAACAACGGCAAATGCAGTCAAATTACGAAAAATGCTGAAAATTATAATTCCTAACGTCTATTTCAATAACTATAGGAAAAAAGTAATTCTAAGGTATTAGGCTTTTGTATTATTTTTGCTTCTCATTCTATACTCTTTGAATCTGTAAATGATTTGTGATCGGGAAATTATTTCTTCAGTTTGTCACCCTTTACCAAATATACGAAGGTATATATGCATAAATTAATTCAATAAAAATGAACTATAAAAAGTTCTATAATGTTAATTTTGTGAATAGAATTGCTTTATACTT